ATGGTGTTATATTTTACATCTGTAAAGAGAATAATGGACTGTTTGCAAGAATTGCTAAAAATATGTTCCAAGACTCCGAGGAAAATATAATGACTATGTCTGGACTTGCTTACAGAAGGAAGGTGATGTGCAGTGAATTTCCAGTGTGCTTCTAATCCCACAATAATTCCTCATGTGGCCAGCATTCAGCCTCCCCTGAGGGAGGAAACCTGGAGAAGACAGTGCTCTTTAAATTCACTCCTGAGCTTCTGAGTGCTACTTTTTCTGTCTAGACAGACTCGTTCTTCAGTTTTGATAGTAAGACCAAAACTTCCCAAGTGCACTAATGCTGGATTTCTAGTATATGGATATGCAGTGTTCAATTTTAGTCTCCCTGGTTTTTAAAACCAGCAAGTTTTAAAACACGTTGGAGAATTACAGATCTCTTCTTCATCGCTTCATGTTTGGTTGATGGAAGAAAAGGGATGTCCCAGCTTTCTGATGGGACCCAGCAGGGCTCTGAGGACCAGGTTCACACCTCTGCATCTGGCAACTGTATGCAATATTCCAGTTCTTACTGAGCAAAAGGAGAACTTGGATGAAAATGTTGCATATGTTTTGCATGAATTACAGAAATATCTGCAAAAATGCCTCATGCTTAAAGAAATTAAATCAAGTTTCTGGATGCCAGTTTACATACAAATGAATTTCTGCTTCAGCTGAAATAGAATCTGACTTGATCAGATGAATAGAACTGAAAATATTCGAGGGCAAAATTAAAAGAAGAGCAATTGAGAAGCAATCAGACTTTCCCATTACTTAATCAACATCATTTGATCCAAACTGAAACATGCTGAACTCAGTGCTGAGGAAGAGAGCCTGAAATACAGCTAATCAGAGCATTCGTTCTTTTTTTCATGCTTAAAAAACATATATTAATGTCTCTTTTTATTAAAATGGATGGTGCAAACATAACCATATCCAAAACCAGGATAACGAAAGCCAGGTTTCTTTTGAACTTTAAAAGAACCACACTTCAGTTTAGCCAACTGAAAACTGTCTATTAGTAAACTGGGCTGCATTAGCATTTGTTCTTTCCAGTTACTGAGCTGCTGCATTTTAAGTCCCAATAGGATGTCTTTGGAGAGCAAATAAGCTGTTGAGGTGAATCACGTTTTACGGTTTTAATCTAATAAATTAGTCAAGGAGGTTGTATTGTCTGTTTGTGCTTGTCAAAAGATGTAGTTACCTGGTAAGGTATTCTGACTGCCGAGTTGGAAGCGTTATCCCTTCCTTCTAGAGCTGTGATAATTTTACACTTTCCCCCCAAAATGGGGCAGATTTTCTTGGTCCTAAATATAATTTTATGTATCTATTCCTAGGCTACCTCTTAAAATGGTTGGGAAGAACTGAGACAATTGCTTTTGTGCTTGTAGTTGAAAAACATATAGATGAAACGTTTCTGCCTGATAGTCTCTTAAGGAGGACTGGATGTTTTCAACATTGTGTAAAAAGAGTAAGAAAACAGGCTATTTATGTTTACAGTTTATTTTCTCTTTCCTGAAAGGTCTGCTCCTCAGTCCCACTTTGTTGGCTTTGTGTGGAAAAATGATGGTCAGCGCCGCTTTCAACATTGTGTATATTTATACATCTGAACTATACCCAACGGTACTGAGGTAATTTAACAGAGCTTCTGGGTAAATGAAAATACTTTTCACGCACAGTGGTACTGATTGCTGGTGTGCTTTAATATTTATCTGTGATTACTTTTACCTGAAATATCAATATGAGTTCTTTCTGGAATTAAAGCAGCTTGCCAGGGCTTGAAAAGGCCTCTCCTATTAGTCACGTGTTTTGCACCAATGCATTTTCCTGGGCTGTTTGTGGCAACTTCCACTTCATCTGAATGCAGAATAAAAACATGAAAGCAAACTTCTTACGCTGCAATGCTAGGTGCCATATTTCTCGTTTTTACTATTGATTTTTGGGAGTAAAATTACAGGCTGCAAAACCAAACATAATGATGTGATGGTAGTGTATGCTAACTTAATTGTAAATATAGACTATGCAGTAAGAAGTATACAGAAGGACTGTAAATAGTCCTGTCTCTCATATGATTAGGTTTGTTTGCCTCCTGAAAAACAAGTGCTTTTCTAGATCTTTGTCATGTAATTAAATATTCATAATGCAACTAATTTTAATAGTTTCTGTATGACAATAATTTGCTTTACACCATGTAATTCATGAACAAATGGGCTAAACCTGTAGTTTATTTTTCCTAGTTCTCACCAACACTTTGTGAGGTTACTCTCTCTCCTGTTGTCCCAAGATAAACCTGAGATAGGAAAATATAATACCACACAGTCCTCTTCTCACCCTCTATTTTGGTTTCACGTGGTTTTCTGAATGGTGCTCAAAGTATATATTCAGAATTTGAGCCATATTGCACTAGTTGCTCAAGAATAGCAACTGCAAAACTACTGCAAAATTGAGCCCTCTTTTGAGAGAGCAGGAAACTGGAAAGCTGACGTGGAGTAGGAAGGCACCCTGGCTGGTAGATGTGTCCTGTAGCACCGTAGAGGTAATTAGGATGGTGACATAAATCACCTGATTCCAGGACACTGAGGGCTTTGGGGAAGAAAAATAAAAATGTGGGTGACTCCTTGGATTGGCTTTTTTTTTTTTCTTTTGAGGTTCACAATTTCCCATATGTTATGGAGGCATAAAAGCTAGACTGTGAACACAGTTTTTGCAGTAAAACTTGTGAGGATGGAGGTGGATTGACTGTTTCTAGATACTGAGCTTGTGATTCTTGGCAGAGGTTTAGGTTTAATATGCAAATCCCAAGCACGCTGACTGAAATTGGATGTGGGGGTTTGTTTACATTCTCCCTGTCCAAACTTTTGTGTTCTTTAAGGTCTCTTTTTCTAGTGGCTGGTGTTTGTTTTTTGTTTTCCTGTGCCCTCTGCTTTTCTGGAGTTGACGATCAAGAGAATTAAATCTGAAAATGTTTTAATTTCTCAGCTTTTCCTTGTTTCACTGTGTTCTCATGTTTCATGTTACCCTGTCTTCTGAAGTCCCATTGATGTTTGGTGCCAAGTATGTGACAGCTCATACCTAGCAGGAATTACTGTAGTGTCTCAGTGCGTTTGAAGCTGTTTGTGATTAGGAAGATTAAAAAAAAAAAAATAAATTAACCAAGTAAAGTGATACTTCATTTGAGAATCTGCACTAATATTCTGGCACAAAAATAACTATATGTGTCAGATACAGACCGCTACTGGAGAAAAATGTAAGCGTAAAGACAGTTTAGAAAATGCTCAACTTCGTTAGTCACGAGTTGTCTAATAATATGGCAAACTATTACGTTAAGCCATATGAAAATTCCTCATGTGACAATTTATGCATTTAATTTGTTTGATATCTCTCCGGCACTTTAATTGCAAATATTATAGTTTATGCAAGAAAAGCAGTGATGGGCAAGTGTTTAATTTAAAGCAAAGCATCAGCACCATCTGGTGGTCTTTGCAAAGCTTTGTAGTGATCCTGGCATTGCTTAGGCGTGCCATGTGATGAGACACGTACCGTTCACAGGCAGTGGAAAGGAGGTGGAATAAACTCTCTTCTCTTTTATTTTTTTTTTTCAATGGGATGTTTTGCAGAAAAATTAAATGTCTTCAGTATTACTGCTCCTTATTTAAACCTACTTATTACTTCACGCACGAGGACTGTTAGGCATATTTTTTTAAGTTCATTGGTAGATGGAGGAATGACAAATACACCTCATGCTAGAAATGGGGAGGTGCTGCGAGCTGGGGAGTGTGTACATGCTTTGGGCTTTTTTCCTTTTTGTTGTATCTTTAAAATACCTGCTGGGGAACAAAAAAGTTAAAAATAGATCACATCACTACTGCTGCATTTTGGACAAAAAGAAAGGTTGTCTTTGGAAACAAAATGTAATCATAGCTCTAGTAATAGAGATGTAAAAACAAACTCAGGTTTTTTCATGAGAAAATGGGTGGAAAATGATGGCAGCTTTGTATGGGATGAGTGATATCAGAGTGGGGCCATTGGACTGGCTAGGATAGCACTGGAAAGCTTATTTATTTGCTTATTTTCACATTGAGGAAACTATGGTATTTTCACTTATGTCAGTGGTGGTAGGTAAGTTTGTACTTTAAAATACTTGCCCTTTTGATCTCTGGCTTTCTTTGCAAAGAACTCTCCGTAATTCTTTCTGTTGAACAACAATCCTTGGTGAGCATTAGTGAAATTGGAGAGCTGACGGTGCCAGCAGCAGAGAAGCTTTTGCATTTGTGCAGAGCTGTACCCCACGCACTGGGCAGTGCCGGGCAAGGAGCAGCTAGAGGAGTGCCGCATGGCATGTGTAATTTGCCAGGCAGCTGCAGAGGGACTAACTGGCTTGAGCAAAGCCCCGGGCTGATGTGCTGACCCTGGTTGTAGAGCTATTTTGGCTGGGATTAGCACAGCGCTGTGCTCCGTGGGATGGTAGGAGCCTGTGCAGTAGGTCTTCTAGTGAGCATGATAAAACTAGGGCAGTAAGGTAAGACAGGCGGTGGGTGGTCAGCTATCAATCAGCAGCGCAGCACCTCAGGAACACTTACTGATAGTTCTTGGGCAATAATGCGTTTTTCCTCTTGGATACCATGACGTTGTTCTGCGTAACCGAAACTCTGTTGAATTCTGAATTAAAGATATCCTAAAGTCTTCTAACAACCGCTTTCATTTTGCGTTGGAATTGAAATGACACAATTTGCATTTAGGATCACCTTTTGCCCTACTCCATCTCAGCAGAAAAAAAAAAGAAGCCAGCAAACCTCTGGATATGGACAGGCTTAGGGTCTGTGGGAAGGATGCTAAATGAATGTTTCACACACAGACTGGTGTCTCATCTGTTCAGGGATTTTGTTGACAGAGGAGGTGCTTGGCCTTGTCTTGTGGGGTTTGGGTCGATGTTGCCTCAATGTGAGGAAGCGTGGGTTCCTATTTTCCTTTTCCCAAGAGGGCATGATAAGAGAAAAGGTTGCTTTGTCTGTTTATTTTTACACCGAAGTCCCTGGCTTCTCATCAGCTCCTTCCATCATCTGTTTCCCTTAACCTGTGCAAAGGGCCATTAGGAAGGGATGTGCAGGTGGGTGGTTTTGGTATACTAGCGACCCAGGTCACCTCTCTGCTTGTCATCTTTAATCCTGTCACTGTCTTCCTGTCTTTGGAGGAGGAAAAGGAAGCAGGGTGAGCAGGAGCGGCTCAGTGGTGTGACTGAGGATGATGATGAATGAGAGGAAGCAACCGAGAGACGCAGGGAAAAGAACGAGCCGGTTCTTGCTGTCTCACTGATAACTGGAGCCAATGTCAGTCTCTGAAGGGGTTGTTAAATACCATATTTAGGAGTGATAGAGAGATGGAAGATTTTTGCATTTCATCAGGAAATGAAAGACTTGGGGGATTTTTGTGACTTTCTTTGAAGAGGATCTTTGAAGAGGATCCTGCTGTTCTAACCCATGCTTTGATTATCACAGTCTAGATGAGATTGTTTTAAACTCTGAAAATTGAAGGGAGCACAGAATTCAGCAACCCTTCCAGTGACACATCTGGCTAGATGTTTGCAAGCTTCACGCTGGCAAATAGTTATTTTCTATTTGGAGATAAGCACTGACTTTTCATCCATGCAAGCTGAGGTGGCAGAAGAGAGGCTGCTGCCGACGGCCTGAGCTGGAGATAGCATTCGGGATCTTCTGTCTGAAGATCCTGCCAAATTTCAAAATCATTCCCTATTCAGCACAGGGATGTCCAATTAAATTGCCCTATGTGGCAGGCTGGAAAACCTCTCTCTTTGTTCAAACTTTTGTGAAGGATTGCACAACAGGGTGGTTTTGCTAGGGTTTAAAAGGGTGTGATTTACCTTGCTAGCAGCTAGTTGTAGAAAATCTTCAGAGTAACTGCTGGAGGTCTTTAAAAACTTTTTTTTTTTTTTTTTTAAATAAAGACTATTGATAACTTTAAAAAGTATAAGTTGGTTCTGACAGTGCCACCACATGTTCATGCATGATTCAGTTGTCTCTTCTGAAACTACAGATCTTTCATCCTTTGTTTGAAACAGAAATGCTGGCTTGGGTGTCTGTTCCATGTCTTGCAGATTTGGGGGCGTTTTGGCTCCATTTGTGCCATCTATGGTAAGATTATTTTCTGCTTTTTTTTTATGTAACAGATTTAATAAATCTTATCTCAAAAGCGCTTTGATTTTGGTACCACATATGCCTATATTCCTTGAGAAAAAAAGTCGGGTTTATGAAAAATTAATAACGTTTTACTCAATTTCAAGAATTCATGAACAAGATGTTTAAAAATACCTAGTATTTTATCCTTTTGGGAAGTAATTAATGTTCTGTGTTGTGTTAATATTTCATCTGTTAGTGAAATGATTGTCATATAATGCATTCGGTACTGCTAAGGCTCACTCAGTATCTGAGTTTTTAGATATGTAAACAAAGTTTTCATATGACGCTGTTTCTGTGAAATGACATTTATTGGCTTTCTTTGTTCTACCAGTATATGGATAATTGCAAAAATTGCTGGAGTGAAAAGTTGTAGTCTTTTGGTTTTGACTGCAGTTCATATGGATCATATATTTTAAGAGCAGGAAATAATGCTGGGTTTTTACTGTGCATTTTTAATTTTAGAAATCTCTTAGTCCTTCTGTACCATTCGTGGTGTTTGGAGTCAGTGGACTGTCAGCGGGATTCCTGACTCTCCTTCTGCCAGAAACACTAAATAAGCCAATTGCTGAGAGCATTGAAGATCTCCAGAGTCCCAAATACCAAGTGCTTAAAAACGAAGAGGCAGGGTAATTTTTTTTTTTTACTGTAGCTTTGCATTATTTTCCCCTCTGTCTTATGCAAGCCATGATTTAGTGCATATTGCTTAGATTGTGCATGAATGAATGTGTGCATGAAGTTTTAAAGCTATCTTTCTCTTGCATTCAGTGGAGATAAATTTATTCTTCGTTTGGGTCTTAAAGATGAAAAGGCTAACACCTTTCACCTGTGTGTATTAAATTATATGTAAACGAATACTATTTTGTTTCCTTAAAGGACAACAAATTTTAGACAGGCAGTCTAAAATAATCAGGGACAATACATTCAGCAACATTCCTGTGCTTTTACAGTAAAACTACTAGGCATATTTTTCATATATTGGATTGTGCCTTTCTGTCATGTTTTGTAGTGGAACATAATCGAAAATTAATATATATCTGAGGAAGTGTTTTATCCTCCATTAGTCTCCTGGGTTAGAGCCATTTAGTGTTTTCCTGTTGTTGATATGCACTAAATAAAACTTTTGAAGTGGGAAGTGAAAGTTTTGTTGTTTCAACAGGTAATAAAATAGAAAATGGGCAGTATATCCCCTAAGTGCTGGGAATGGCTTCATGGAAGAATTAGTTGGGGGGGGGCAGAAATTCCCATAAAAAAGGAAACGTTAGCTTAGAACTAAGCGGGCTTAGTGTAGATATAGAAGAAGATATGTTTTTCTTATGTTTTTCTTGATATGCTAGCTTGTTAATTATCTGGTAATTATTGTACTTAATCAGTTTAATCATACTACACACACTATTATGCTTTCTTTTTATGCCTAATACATAGTAATACTGCACTCAGTTGAAATGGAAAAAAAAGAATTGAGCTTTTTGAATATCATTTCACTTCTAATTTTTAAAAAAATCAATGAATTCTGGTTTTCACACTTAATATTAGCCTATAAAATAGGACAAGAAAAGTAAGACATGTAAACTGTTTTTCAGTAATTATTTTTCTTCTGTCTGACAGGCAAACCAGTTAGAAGAAAACACTTAAGTTTCAGAAGGCCTGTCTGTGGTGGAAAATGAAGCCTCCATTGAGAAGGTGCTATAAGACTTGAAGGGCAGTCTTGCTCTATATATCTGGCAGGAAATGTTGGAGGACTCATGTATAATTCTGTTCGTACCATGTCAAACAGTTTTATGTGTAGGCAAATGGAGAAGATGGAAGAAGTCGATCAAAGCTTGCGAGAAAAGAGGTGACAAATCTGTGCATTAATTTAATGACTTAACAAAAGCATACGTTGGATGTTTGGACTTCTCTATGGCTTCTTCAAATGGAAGTATTAATTTATTTTACAAAATGTAATTGCTAGCTTCAGATTAAGCTATAATGTTGTAATTGAAGTGATGTGTATAATTCAAAATTTAGATGGCCTTATATATTCAGGCAAGCTGTAATTGTGAAAAGTAACAGCTCCTGTATATGCTAATTTTCTCTACAGGGTTTTTTGCCTCTAAATTATGGTACACCTCACAGTGTGAAGAGACCAAAGATTTTTATGGGTTGTTAACCTTAGTATTTCTAGCATGAGAAACCTGAACAGGAGATCTGAATGGAGAATAAATGGATTTTATTGTGGCAGTAAGTAATTTTTTAATACAGTTGTACATGAAAAGATGCCTATGGTTAAAAATAGTACTATATTGGAAAAACGGTATTGGGCCTTGAAGAGGTGCATTTAAAGGAAAGGACGAGTAACCTTTTAGACAAAGGTTATTAAGTTCTAGCTGTACATGTGGAACTAGAAATTATGAACATGAGTCATATATTGTATAATATGTGAAATGTATTGGATTACATATTATTACATATATGAATTGGAAATTCTTCCTGCGAGGGGCGTGTGTGTGCATTTGGTTAACAGTTAATATATTTACGTTGGAATAGATGCATCGCAAATGTTGCAGTTTTTTGATGGCCAACACAATTTTGTTATTAAAAAGAAGATTATTTAACATCTGTATTATGAGTGCTGCTTTTTCCAGAATGTTTACCTAGGCTTTTTGAAGAATACTTGCATCATTATGATTTTGGACCTTTATCTAATGCATCTGATAGGAAAAGGTTACCGAAAGGCCTCTGTATTTTGCGGAAGTTCCATAGTTAAATAATAGTTCTGCAAATGAACACGCACCCCGTGCAAGTGTGTGTGCACTTCTACACGTGCCCATGCACACATAAGCACACGCAGGTTGCTCTGCCTGGATGCCTCACTGACATCTGTGCTGTGTCCATGCATGCTTTACAGATAGCCTCATCAGGTCCCCAAGAGGTGAAAATCCATTGGCAATTAGAACAATATCTAGATAATGTTGACGTACGGGTGGATTGCACGTGTGTTTACTTATCTGGGGCTGAAGCTTGACGACAAGCAGCTTATAGAATATGCTGCAAACTTTCATCTTGTGATCATTTATTTATTCATCATTTTTGTAATGTTTCAATTTTGTGAGGATTAGAATTGAGTTTGTGGTTTCTTTTTTCTCAATAATATTAATGCCTTCCATTGCATTAACATTTATAACCATAGTGACTGATTATACCTCTTCAAAGGATAATTGGGTCAGCAGGGATATGGTAAAGACCAAGTTTTGTTACTGTTGATTTCAATTTTTTTTTATTACAAGAAATAAAACTTAATAAGAAATAGAATGATATAAAGTTGTATTCCCAAAGCAGAGACAAGACACTGGAGCAGGGGGATCGTAAAGGTACCATTATGTGGTGGGAGTCTATTTCTCCCTCCTGCCACATGCATCAGGCTGTATCAGTGCATTTTTCCTCTGCCTTTTATTCCACATTATGTGAAAAACAGGAAACAAAGATCATTTACATTTTGAACATGCTTATTTCTGCTTTATTTGACCTGGAGTTAATGAATTCTTTGCCTGGGGTGACTTCTGTGAATTTGGTGGATTGATGATCAGAAAGCTGTGTGTCCTGAGAAGTTAATGATTTTTTCAGCAGCCCTGGCATGACTCATGGTACCTGCAGCTCTTTTTCTGAGCGGAGGCTAATGTGGAAGCTGTTTTGGTAGTTCATCTCCAAGATCCAAAAGAGAACATGGGTGGAAACATCGACTTCCATTTTTGCTTCTTATCTTTTCAATTCAATTTAACACCTTGTTTGCCTTTCTAAGTTTACTTTATATATCCTTGCCGCATTTTGCTATTGCTGGATAAAAAGATGCTATTTGGAAAAAAGAAGTGTTTTTCCAGTTACATGTTTAGAAATAAGGAAATTAATTGCAGCTTTATTAGAAATATTTTCAATTGGACTAATGTGATCAGTGCATTATATCTTACAAGGTCCTAAAGTTACGTAACCAACTGTGTCATTCATTGCTGTGTATGTTACGGCAAATCAGAAAAGGCAGCATTTTTGGTCAAATAACTGCCTTTTTTAGGGTAGATATCTTCCCTTAAAGCATTTGGATTTGTAGAATTGAAAATTCTTCACTTAAAACAACTCTTTTTCCCATTATTTTTAATGAAAACAAAGCAGTTTTGGGGAGGAATACCCTAATAAATTCTTTACTCAGTGTGGGACTATTATCTATTGCTTTCCATTTCTCTGTAAAAAGAACAAAGGGAGCTGAGTTAATTTAAGTGGCTTAATTATACACATTAGGTCACAATCCCCATCCTTAAGCATCACTTTTAGCTCTTCCCCTGTGCTTTATTTGTGTGTAGAAATTTGATTATGATGTTGCATCTGCACTGTTCATCTGTTTCTGTGTTAGAGCAATGTCTTTAGCGCTTTAGCACTTGTGAAATTGCCTTTATTTCTTTATCTGTTTTTAAACTGATTTGAAGTCTTTTTACTTCAGCATTTGAGAAAATTGTGCTGGTTTCTGGATTTTATCATGTTTCAGCTGCAAATCTCAAGGCTTAAAAAAAAAGAGGGGGGGGGCGGGGGGAGAAATAAGAGTTGGCCTCTGCGCACTGTCCTTAAGTATATCTGTGATACTGATAGTTTGTCCAGAATGGAAGTCTGAACTGATTTCAGTTTTTTCGCTCCTTTCTGTGTTTCACCTTTAATCTTACTGTATTTTTCCCTAAGGAGTGCTGTTGGGTTTTTTCTGTCTTAGGTGCTAAGAGTGCTGAGCAGAGGCGAAGCTTGAACATTCATTTATGCCGCCTACGTTTTAATGCCATTTCCCTGTAATTAGGCAGTATTTATCCTTTAATTCTTGGTTAGATTTGCTTAAGCCCCAGTTTTCCCCCTGTCAGAGGAAGAATATCAGTTGTAAATATTTGAAAATATTTTTCCATTGCTCCCTCCAGTTCATGCCATCTTTGGTATTTTGTTTCACGTTTTGTTGTTCCACGGCCCTCCTGGTGACCGACTCAGCATAGAGAAGCAATGAGGATTCATCTGAATGTATGTTTCCCTGGCTGGCAAATATCCTCTGCTTCATTCTGTCATCAGCTGGTGATGATACACCCGCACACCCACGCACCATGTTAAAAATCAGGTCAGGTATAAAGGCAGAGCTTGAGTTCCTTTTTCAGGAAAGTAAACTTTGCCCGATATTCATGTCAAGCTCATCTCAGTGATCTTTTTCATTATCCCATTTGATGTTTCATCAAAGCTGCTTCCTCCTTTGTTGGAGCACTGTATGTTATTGCTTGAAGTGGAGGCTACAGATTCATTTTTAGAATTTATCCTTTTTAATCTGAGCAGAGTGAAGTACAAATAATCCTTTGCTTTGTTGACTAATACTCTTGCAGCTAAGCAGCAGGGAAAGGAGGAGGTGAACTTTTCATACTACCATCTGTAACCAGCTGGTTCTGCCATTCAATTTTTAGTTTGCTTGAGGCAAATAACCGTATCGTGTATTACAGCATGCAGGAGATCTAATTTTTTCCATGCAGTGAGTTATCAGTAGTTCATTGGAAAGGTCATCTTTCTTTGTATCACTTGCTACAGGAGATGTAAAATTTCCTAGAGATGATTTTTGATAGATGCAATCCTTCCATCAGCGTTAA